TTAGTTGTAAATCAGAATTCTCCAACATTTTGACAGTGGTCCACACTCTGTCGACTTTTGGTTCCTGATTGGGATTCTCAGTCATTGTGAAATGGTTATCACTTGGAATACTTAAACATTTTCCGCATCTTAATCTAGGCTAACGGTGTAACAAATGTTGTAAGTTATTCCCACCTCCCCTCTGATACTGTGAACTCTAAAGAGCGGCATGGTGGCTCAGTGGTTAGCACTGCTGCCTCACAGTGCCAGGACCCTGGTTCAATTCCAGCCTTCTGTGTGGAGTTTCCACATTCTCCCCGTGTCTGTGTGGGTTTCCTCCAGGTGCTCCAGTTTCCCCCCACAGTCCAAAGATGTGCAGGCTAGGTGGATTGGCCATGCTAAATTGCCCATAGTGTTCAGGGATGTGTAAATTAGTTCAGTTAAAAGGGGGGTGGGTCCGGGTGGGACGCCTGAGGCTTGGTGTGGACTTGTTGGGCCGAAGGGCCTGTTTCCACACTGTAGGGATTCTGATTCATATGATCCCAAAGTCTGACCCAAACCCATTTGACTGTAGACAACAGTCAAAGCTCAAAGTTCAGTACATCCTTGACATTCTTTTGACAGTTTATTGTCCCACTGCTCACTCCAACTCAACAGAACTATTTCTCTTCACATTAAATGTGTCCTTATGAATACCATTCCTCTAATTTCAGAGCTGCATCACTCTATCGGTCCCTGAGGAATATGTTTCTCATGCAAAGGGCTGATCAGTTCCATCCATGGTTACATTGCAAGAATCACTGTCAACAGTTCATCAATGTATAAGAGTGTTTTTGTGCACAGGCTTATATCTTAGTAGTAGCATCAGATTGGTGACTGCGTTTCCCACTAATGGAACAGTTTTTGAGATTAGCGGTTCCCAGGAATGTGGATATCAACCAGAGACATGCACAGCTAGTTGCTTGGAAGTACTTTTTACACTTCTGCAATTTGGTCAATCTAATTTAACGCACACAATTTAACTTTTGGGCACTTATCATTTTGTGATCCAATTGCCTCGGCCATCCCTTGCCCTGCAGTAGGCCAGACGGCTTAATTGCAGTGCGGAGTGATAAGCAGCATGGGTTCAGTTCTTGCGCTGGCTGGGGTTACCATGTCGGACTTTGCTGCTGAAACTCTCCCCTCTCCTGAGGCTTGGTGACTGTCAGGTTAAATCACAACTAGTTCTCTCTCTCTCTCTCTCTCTCTCTCTCTCTCTGTCTAATGAGAGAGCAGCCGTATGGTCTGGTAAGAATATGCTGACTTTACCTTGTATAGGCTTGTGTTTAGTTCAAGGGATTATTTTGAAGTCCAGTTCCAATGTCCGTGGAATGATGCCAGGTGAAACTTGGCAAATTGCTGACACTTCTACATTCCAACCGCCTTTTTTGTTTTCAGTGCCATCACCTGAACTTTAAATGTTGCTTGCCTCGTATGTTGAATGCATTCTTGCTTAAGGACTACATCCCCAAGTCATCATGAACTACCAGGAAGATCCTTCTTCGACTTTGCTGAATGAAAGTAACTAATTAATGTTGTAGGTAGAGTCATAAAGCTGTACAGCATGGAAACAGACCCTGTGGTCTTACTCGACCATGCTGACCAGGTATCCTGTATAAATCTAGTTCCAGTTGCCAGCATTTGGCCCATATCCCTCTAAACCCTTCCTAACCATGTACCCATCCAGATGCCTTTTAAATGTTCTACTTGTACCAGCCTCCACCATGTCCTCTGGCAGCTCATTCTTACATGCACCAAATATATCTTTACCCTCTCACCTTAAACCTATGCCCTCTAGTTTTGGACTCCCTCATGCTGGGAAAAAGACCTTGGCTATTCACCCTATCCATGATCCTGTATCCATGCCCCTCATGATTTTATAAATCTTTAAAAGGTCACCCCTCAGCCTCCGACACTCCAGGGAAAATAACCCTGGCCTATTCAGCCAGTCCCTATAACTCAAACCCTCCAACCTTGGCAACATCCTCATTCGTCTTTTCTGAATCCTTTGTAGTTTCACAGCGTCCTTTCTATAGCAGGGAGGCCAGAATTGCACGCGGTATTCCAAAAGTGGCCGAACCAATGTCCTGCACAGCCGCAGTGTGACCTCCCAACTCCTATAGCAATGCACTGTCCAATAAAGGCAAGCATACCAAATGCCTTCTTCTCTATCCTATCTACCTGGGACTCCATCTTCAAGGAACTATGAGCCTGCACCCCAAGGTCTCTTTGTTCAGCAACATTTTAGTCAGTTCTTGTGCCCTATCCTGCTGTTTATGAATTGGAAATGAGATTTTGCCCAAGTTGATGTTTTTACCTAAATGTGTTTTTCCCTAAATATGTTTTTTCCTTCTTTCCCAATTAATCTGTTTCTCCCGAAATATCTGAAACAAAAGATAATTGTGTCAGGCTTCAATGTCTGCAACAAAATGTTATCTGGTGAGGTGATCACTTTTAATTGGTAATCTTGAAATTGGCAAATTGTTGCCTTTTTGAGGTCAATGCCAGTGAGACAGAGGTCAGGAATTAGCTCATCCTAACTCATTCCTTAGCCAGCCTTCCCTTTCTCCCACTAATTTTCTGCATTTTTTAAAGACTTGAGGGTTCACATCAACCAGTGTATTATTGTTAAGGAACCCTGAACTAATAAGGGGACGTCATACAATTTCATAGAAATCCACCAGCACTTTAATGTCAGGAAATTCAGCATCCCATCGAAATGTCAAGAAATTCAGGTTAGCTGTTAAAATGTAAAATAATTTCCATTCACAGTTGAAATGTCAGGAGATTATCACTCACAGTTGGAATGACATGTTGATCATCGATCAATGATTGCTGTCTACTTCACAAGTTTTGAGCAAACAAGAGCAAACTTTTCCCTGGTGTACTCAGCATAGCAACACCTCTACCAATCAGAGTTCACTTACCAACGAATATTACTGCCTTCTCATGTAGTATAAATTGTTGTTCCCTTTGAGATTTGGTGTTCTTGTGAATCTGTCCGAATGGGTGCAGCATGAAAGCCTTTGACAGCTTGTTTCTCTTTTCCAGCAGCATTTTGATTCAAAATCAGAATGAAGATTTCAATTGAGTCCTGATGGAAGTAATTTAAACTGTTACCGATAGATCAGCTCTTGTTTATATTCTCACGATTTTCATTTGGGAACGAAAGATCCTTATCACGAATGCAGAGCTACCGAGTGAGTTAAAATCTCAACACCTCCCCCACCCCAGCTCCAAGTATTTTTGGCCTTGTTACATTTCATGGAATCATAGAATCCCTACAGCGAGGAAGCAGGCTATTCGGCCCATCGAGTCCACACCAACCGTCTGAAGAGTATCCCACGCAGACTCACCTCCCCCTACCCTATCCCTGTAATCTTGCATTCCCCATAAATAATCCACCTAGCCTGCACATCCTTGGACATTAGGGAGGCAATTTAGCATGGCCAACCTACCCTAACCTGCACATCTTTGGACTGTGGGAGGAAACCAGAACGCGCAGAGGAAACCTGTGCAGACACAGGGAGAAACTCCAGACAGTCACCAGAGTGTGGAATCGAACCCAGATCCCTGGTGCTGTAGCGCAGCAGTGCTAACCACTGAGCCACCGTGCCTCCTTAATTTCTACACTAATAGATCTTAATCATAATTCCTGCTATAAAAAAGCAAAATGCTGTGCAATAACCTTGCAGTATTTCGGGTCAGTTGCAATAATGCTGAGTAACGTTGTTTTTAAACATCACAAGTGCCCATAAGCCAGTCGTAAATCTGAAAAGGAGAGATTTTCATATTTTCTTTATTGGTTTCTTTGCATTTGCTTCAGGTCTCTTGGAATCAATTAATCCTTTGTCCCAACATATGATCCAGTCGTTTCTTTTACAGTTCTCCAGTATGAGTGTGGTTGTTCTAACAAAAAAGGAACAAATTCTTAAACTGACTTCTTTTCTACGAGTTGAATGTCAATAAGCATGGCCCTCGATACCCTTACCTGCGAAATTCCCCACAGCATAATACTGTATGAATGCACAATTCTTAAAAGAAAATGAGTGGTTATATGAATGTGAGATAGTTATTGGCAGTGATAGTTAATAAGGGTATATTGAAATAATTGAGAACTTTGAGGTATTCCCTCTGAATTCACACCTTGAAAGGAGGGCTGAAGTATTCACTTGGGACCCCATCCATATTTTCCATGCTGTCCATCAAAAAGAAATGATCAGGGCAGACTGTTGACATAAAGTCATCCAACACAGGATCACAAAAGTGTTAGAATGAAGAAGGCTCTCCAGTTCATTGATACGTTTTTCCAGAGCAGCAATCTGACCACCCCCACAGCAGCTAAGCACATTTGCTATTAATTGGCAGGTATGTTGCTGTGTCCCTACTTTTTTTCTAATGATTTGCTATGGACTTGATTTATAAAAACCTTCTTTCATCACTGTGCAAAGCCATGTTGATTGAAAATCTACCAGGATATAATGCACATGCTTGTTAGTGCTTGACATATCTGAACGTAAATGTAAATGATGTTAGGTATTGTGATGGGACAGAGTACTGAAATGCATGCCTTTTTGTCATACACACCCAATGTGAGGCAAGCAAGTATTAGCACTTGTGTGTGATTGTATTCAGTGCTCTGCAGTATGTTTAATTGCATTAATCTGTGCATCCTATCTCTATATTGAAATCATACTTCATGAAAAAAACAAGTTGACACATGAATGTTTTCAGAAGAAGTGCCTTTTGTTTGAGTACTGTGGTCTCCAGCTCGAGCACATTCCAATTTGACTTGAAGACACTTACCAGGCTGCTCCTTAAAACGCCAATTTCAACCACTGTTACACTTCATCTGTCAGCGTCTATTGCGTACTGTGGTAGATATGATCATAAACAGATTCCACAATAAGTTCTACCAGGAGAATGGCAGACCACATGTCCAGAGGGTCTAAAGCGTTTTGTTTGCTTGTTCTTTTCCGCAGAATAGACAGAGTGGAGAATTGTTCTTTAAAAACGCGCAGCTAAGGCACACTGGGAAATACACCTGCACTGCTAAAACCACCGTCGACAGCGTGTCCGCATCTGCAGACCTGATTGTCAGAGGTAGGAACATCTTTGGTGGCTTTCTGAAGAACTGCTGAAATAATAGGCAAGGCAGAACTGCAAAAGGAAACAATTTTAATTACTGCATTAAAAGAAAAAGCTTTGTCTTAATTCTAAACTCATATTAGAGCAGATTTCAAAATATATAAATAGAAGCAGATTCCCAGGAGCACCCTATTTAATGGCACCAGTGTCCTACCCCTTGGTTCCAGTCGTTAGTTGATTGCAAGATCCTGCACTGTGCTCCCAGCATCTTAAGCCAGATCCCATCATCTCCAATATTGCAGTGTCATTTGTCCATTTTTAGATTTGATAACTTGATCCTTGATAGTCCTGAGTAATGTGACTTGATGGTTGCCCCAAGTTAATTCGAGTTACTTTCTGGTTATACGTTTTAACAGAGACTGTGAGTGAGCAACCTTCCTGTGATTGGTTTGTTGGTGCATTAAAAACTGTTCATTAAGTGAGTTTCTTTCAGTAATTCATGCTCACACCTTGATGGGAGGTGCCCGGATGGGGTATGAGACTAAATATGGTGCTCTCGACTAATATTGCACAAAACATTCTGACCAATTCAATAAAAACGTGACCTAATTAAAGTCGCTTATTTTAAAAACCTAATTAACCCATAAATCACTCACATGCTTCTGCTTTCGCAGACTGACCAAGGCAATAGTTACATGGGAGCACCATCAGCTGCAAGTTCCCCTCCAAACCACTTATGGAACTCCGTTGCTATTCCTTTGCTGCTGCTGAGGCAAAATCCTGGAATTTCATTCCTAACAGCTCTAGGGTGTTCCCTCGACCCAGGACCATAGCAGTTCAAGAAGACAGCTCACCACCACCTCCTTCAGGACAATTAGATGTGTGCAGTACGTGCGAGACTTCTTTGAATGAACAAACCGATAAATTATATTTGTTTTCATTTTCAGCTGAAAGAAACATTACACGCTGAAAGTTTCTTTGTTAGAGCTTGGTTCACTGCTGCATACCCTAATGTCTGCTTCATGACCTTATTTCTGTTCTGTTCAGTCTTTGATTTTCAGATGCAATTTCAATTTCACTTTGTTCCTTGCATAATTAAATGATTTAAATGCCTAATTAAACATTTCTCTCCTTGTCTGCAGCAGTGGTTTTAAGACAAGTCTTATTTTGTTTGAGTGCCAGGTTTTGAAGTCAGGAAGCAGCTTTCAATGAGATGCCTGTCATTGGTATAACATGGGTGTGGGAACCCAATCACTTCATTCACAATTGTCTCTAGTTGCCAGAACATTGATAAGGATGGGCGCAGTCAAAGGCAGGTTGAGCATCCCCGCATATAATCCGCTTTATCATTGAATCCCTACAAATTGGAAGCAGCCTATTCGGCCCATCGAGTCCACACCAACCCCCCCAAAGAGCATCCCACCCAGACTCCCCTCCCTACCCTTTGCTTGTAACCCTGCATGTCCCATGGCTAACCCACCTAATCTACATATCCCTTGACACGATGGACAATTTAGCATGGCCAACCCACCTACACTGCACATCTTTGGACTGTGGAAGGAAATCGGAGCATCCGGAGGAAACCCACGCGGACACGGGGAGAATGTGCAAACTCCACAGAGACAGTTGTCCGAGGGTGGAACCCAGGTCCCTGGTACTGTGCGGCAGCAATGCTAACCGCTGAGCCACCATGCAGCCCTGCTCTGAGTAATAGGATTACAAAACTTTAATTGTTTTCCAAACAGTTGTTTGTTGATGTAACCTTAGGGGCATTTTAACTATGAACATTTGTGTGAGAGTCCATTGGATAAGTAGGATATTGTGGTGGTGCCACACTTATTGTTTTTCATTGCTTCAAGGAAGAGAGGCAAGGTCAGATTTTTTTAAATAATCAGAAAAACAATTTCGGTATCACTTCAAATTGTTCATTTTCTTGCGTCTTGATTCTGTTATTTTTCTTTATATTGATTACAGACGTCCTATAGATCACTGTAGGTGACATTGAGATTTATTTCCCAGTATAATAAATGAACTCCACCCTCACAGACTGTGTGAGTCTGATTCAGTGACAATGTTGGGAAGTGATTGAATTTGCCTGTTTAAGATAGCCCCATGGGATCCAACATTTTAGAAAAAGGGAAAACATAGCCACAGTTCACAATGCAGTTTTAACAACTGGCCTCATGAACACTCAAATTTTGCCACAGTCCTGAAGAAAGAATGAAAGTGCCATTGTGCAGATTCACAGAATCCTGCAGCACTGTTATTGTACAGTTCCGTGGGACAGCTTGAGTGGTTTTGAAGCATTATGAATGATGCAGTGTAACAGTACTCATCTGCCTCAACTCAACTTCTTGTATCTTCGGTGAGAACACCCTGAGGAAGCTCCCCGTCTCACATTTCATTTACAACTTCTGGCAAACCGGCTGTGCCTTTTCGGAAATGAAGGGGAACGTTCATAAGAACCAGCAATAATGAAAGTCCACGTCCAAATCCAAAATGGCAGCCCTGACCAGAGCCAGTGGCAGCAACTGTTAGAGCTGTCATATTCCATTGCTCATTTGTATGATAGGCAGAGCATCTTTTCTGTTTCACTGTAGTATCCTTTTTGTAGCAAATGCCACTTGCTGCTTGGTGGCAGTGCGAAACCACTAACACTACCTGTTGCTCAAATATTTAAGACAGCAGTGCTGGTGTGATCTCATCTATGTAGGCTATACATCCCAAAAACAGGCAGATCAAGCAGCATTTCCCTTTGGCTTTTACAGTTATTGGACTCTGCTTACAAAACTCGCAACACAGTGACAAATCACTTTGCTGGGTGATTTTCGGTGTGCGAAGAATTATGCTGATAATCAATTTAGGACTGTTCGTCAGCCTCACAGTATGATGCACATGTCTGCTGGTCCCTGTTTTTTTTTTAATATTGCAGACAGAAAGCACATACACACGCAAACAGGACTGTTTCAACACAATAGCTGACAGCCATTGCTGCTTCATTTCTCAGGGCAATGTCTTAACCAGTCAGCGTCAACTTGCCTGGTTGAAGACTTAAGCAAAGCCTGGCACTTAACATAAGGTAGCATTAACTTGGGTACAGACATTGTCGTGGAGAATGCAATCCGATTGGTCAGCAAGTACGATCAGCGCTTTTCTCTTGTACACAATAAATGTCACCTTCTCTTTATGTTGCCGTTTCTTATGATCTTTCCTAATGAATGCAAGATGAAAAGGTTCAACAAAATGTCTCTTTTCCGGCAAAACTCAAGTTCTGAACCACCAAATGACCATTGTATACAACTGTGTCTTTGTCTCAAATGTGATTGTATACAAACAGGTGAAATGCCATGTAAGCAGATGTAGAGTAACAGCTAATTGTGGGAAAGCAACTATTTAAAGTGGAAAACATTAATACTACTTGAAGTAGATTGACAAATCCAAAGCTTGATATACATAAAAGATAAGGAATATTAAATTTGAGCAAGGTGTAGCAGAACTAAGAGTTTATTGGTAACTACAGGACCACACCATAATTGATTCTTTCTGTTTGACATAAATGCAATATTCATAACGAATTTAACAAATAGTTTCTTTTGAATTAAAAAGCGAGATGACGTTGTTCTCATGCATATTCTCAACAAAGAGGAGACTCAGGGAGACTCTGCAGGTTCTATCTCATTGAACAAAGATCCAGTTGTCACTTCAGGCGAGTGTGAGATGAGAAGATGCAGGTTTTTGAGATTAAGATTTTTGCATCATTGTAAATTGTCTGGATGAGAGCAGCTCCGAGAACACTCCAGGAGCTGAACACCGTCCAGAACAAAAAGCTACCTGCTTGATTGGCACTTGATTGGCACCACATTGACCATCTTCACCATTCGCTCACTCCCTGTGAACTGATAGCACCAATTACAATCATGACCTTTACTCCCTAGAAGGACAAAGGTAGCAGATGCGTGTGAAGACATCCCCCCACATTTCCCCTCCAAACCTCATACCGTCTTGACTTGGAATTATATTGCCATTCTTTCACTGTCACTGGGTCAAACCCTGCAACACATTAGTTGTTGGTGGGTCAAAACCCTTGAACTGTCTTCCTAACAGCATTGTCGTCGTCCTGACACCCCAACAAATGCTGGCTTACCAGGCAGATGCCAACCCAATTCCCATTGAAGAATAATGCAAAAAGAAATTGTATCTTGCTCAAATTCAGAATAAACACAATATCCATTATGAAGGGTTAATACGCATCAGAGATTTCAATGGACAGAAGTAAAACTAAACTTCACTTGCTTGAAACTAATTGGGGAGAAGTTGGTTTGTTTGTATTTTATGAGCAGTAAAATGGAAATTTGGACCATCACCAAGTTCTTGCTTTGTTACAGACCTGGAGAGGAGAATGGCAATTTGCAAATCTGGCTCCAATTTTCATAGTAAAGCAAATGGATGGAAAGTGAGAGAATATTTCCTCCCCCCAGACTACTTGCCTATCATCTCAGATCTTGGCTGTTTCAGCTCTGACTGGAGGCTGGTTTGTCTTAATTTTCATTATTAATGAAAATTGTCTACGATGATAGAGTCAAGGTGAATTGAAAGAAAGGTACAATGTGAAAGATCAGAGGTGGGAAAATGCAAGGAGCACCTTTATTCACTAGAATTATGTGTCCTTGATGGAAGATAAGCTCATAGGTGATAGAGAAAGTAACAAGACACCAAGGCAACAAGATGTGAAAGCACAGATCCACACTTAGGAAATGCTTTGTGATGTTCTGAGATTATGAAAGGCCCGAGAGAAGTACAAGTCTGTCTTTTTGTCTTATTTTTGAAGATCAAATATCTGAAGATATTTCTTTATACCCCTTTGTGTGAACAGGAGCAGTGCCAAAAACTCGGTCTGTTTAAGAAACAAATTGGACAATTCTCTCAAAGGATGAGATCAATAGAGTTGAAAAGTGTCCTTCATACAGCTCACATTTGTGTGTCAAACTCTGGCACCTGGGAGTCATAAGGAATTT